GCTTAGGGTGCGGTTCAGCTTGTAGAATGCCATTTTAATTGAAAATATTTTTGAATAATTTTACCACAATTACTTATGTCTTGACTCTTGAGTTTAAATTATGGTAAAAGTATTTGTTGCTTCCATACAGACTCCCATGGGAGGTATATGCTGTCATGCTGGCTGACAAAATTGATGGGTATAGAAAACAGGAGGAGCGTTTGATTTCTGAATTCAAGAAACATTTTAACATTGAGTTTATTGACTTCAACAGAGAAGGTGCGGGGATAGTGAATTGGGTGGAACGTGGCCGTCCAAGAAAGTAAGATGTTACACACTTTTTTTATTGGTACAATGATGTTTTGGACTTTACTGGTACAATAATATTAGAGTTATAAAAAATAAATTTTGAATTATGTCATATAATATTAATAAACCGTTTGCATACAATTACAGACTATTGATAATGTCAAAGATTTAAATTTTACATTGTTTGTAATTTTGTATTTTGTATTTATGTCAGAATTTTACACACACAATCTTGAATTGGATGCAACACATTGTGCACTTCAAGAATGAACAGCTTGCACATAATCACATTCATGGGCCCTGCAAAAGTCATAGTATACATAAAATCTCAAATTAGACTTAAAAATCTTAAAAATAAATATATATAAATGCTAAAATATGCTAATTAGACTAAGCAGTAGGCACCCAGCAATATAAAGACAAACGGCTCCTTTTGTTAGCGGCTACATGACTACATCAATAGTTTATAAAATGTGCACTTATGCTCTCCTGTGAGTAACAATAGCCAGGTGACTTAATTCTTCTGCAGCCACATAACAGGAGTCATGGCCAATGCAAAATATCTTTATACAAGAGAGTGAAAATAGTTGTTGTAACTTGTAAGGAATCTTGTGATGAGAATTTATAGTTGGTGTCTCTGACTCTTGTTTTGTTTGCAAATTCTAGATTTGGCAATGTTTTGGAAGGGGAAGTGGAAGCATGTCAGCAAATTGCCCAACAAACTGGGATTCTGGTGGATCCTGTGTATACATTAGCTGCTTGGGAAACAGCAATGCTTCTCTCTAGCAAAGAAGCTGAAGAAGGACCAGAAGTTGTGTTGCTTCACACTGGAGGCACGTTGGGTATGTTTGGGTTGGCTCAGAGGTACACAAATTATTTTGGCATGCTCAAAAAAGGACCGGATCAATTTTAGAAACGTGAGGTTGTAGTTTAGATGACAGGGTCAGCTGCAATCTTGTTGCAATAGAAATGCATTGATAGCATTCCTATTCCTAGTGGCCAGAGCTTCAGCCTGACATAAATTTCTTTATTCGGAAGAAATTGAACTTCTATTGATGCTTCCAATTCATGGTGCTTATTCTAAGCTGACACTGATGATGTATTTTATTGTAGTTGGACGATGATAGTATGAAAAGTTGTTTTGTAGATTTTTTTTCGTTCATATATCCAACAAATAAACTACTTTTGTATCATTCAACATGGGGTTTATTATTGTATCTGTATGTTTCTGGTAATTGGTAACTTATTCAGCCAAGTGACAAGTCAATCTCCTCAGAATAATAATAAATATGGATAGCTGGGAAATCTTTTCACTTAAAGAAAAAACACTTTGTCAAGGGCACCGTTTTGTGCATGTTTGATTAAGTTTGTAAAAACAACTCTACTTTTTCTTCCATTTCAAATTAAGTTTGAAGACAAAAACTTGGTTTATAGTTGAACCAAATTGAAAAGCAAACGAGATTTTTTAGCTGTGTAAGTTGGAGCTTCGCAATTGAAAATGAAACATGACCTTCGTTATCTGGTCACATTGATTTTGCACAACCGTCATGTGCTACTTGGTTCTGTAAATAGAAAATCTGAGAAAATAAGAAAGTTGTGTTATATTGGGCCAAGAGAGGCAATTCTAGGAGAGTGGTTCTAATTGATAAAGGAACATTCTATATTGCGCAGCCTTTCCATAACAAGAAGAAGGGCCGTTGGCCCAATAAAGCAAGCAAACCTACCTTGAGCCCAAACCAAACCGGTAAAGTTATCGGGTCAGCTCACCATCTAATTAGCCAAATAAATTAGAATTTTCAGTTTAATTTTAACTCATTAACTCAGCAACTTAGTTATTGAATTATTAAGCAATTGAGTCAGTAATTAAATATTCGCATTAAAGCCATTGATGTTACATAATCGAGTCAGTAATTAAATATTTGAACCCATTGATGTTACATAGTTGCGTATCTATCTAAAAATTCATTGATGTTACATAATTTATTTGTCTTTGTTTTTGATTAAATGGTACAAAGAGCAGAGAAAGTGCAGGTGGGAGTTTAATTAGAATTTGGTAGTTAAAAGAGCTTTTAGGAACCCAACACGTACGTGGAGATTGCGAAACGATTTGCCACAGTGACCCGACAGACATGGCAATATCTTGGTCCGTGGTCCCGCATCACGCCAACACACCCCAAGGATCGTTGAGACTCGAGACTTGAGACTTGAGACTTGAAATCTACTACTATTACTATTACTCTATGGTTTTACTTGTTTTTATCATCTCATTACTATACAAGCTAAAATATATACTTTATAGACAAAAAAGATGGTTAATCACATTTTACTTATATATAATTTAGAGAAAAATTTTAAAAACATATATTGTCCCTTTAGACCTAATCTCATGATAAAATATATGTTTAAAGATGTTTCTAGTATTTTAAATAAGAACTAAATTTGTTTATCTATTAAATTTAAAATTAATTTTCCTTGTCTACAATTTAAAAAAGAAATACTAACAATACTCTCTTATACTTGAAATCACAAATTTTATAATTCTTACACCTTATTTAATGATTTTATAATTTAGAAATAAAATTTACTAAAATTTGTGATTTTAGTATAGAGACTATCTACAAGAAAGTGCTAGAAAATGTCTCACAAACATGTCTCTAACTTAAAAGAAATTCTATCAATCTCTTTATTTAAAGGTGGTAAGTGAATTTGGTTTTGAAGAGCAAATTTTTTTATACTTACATAGACTAAAATAAAAATATTTTCCATTTTCAAACACAATGTAGATATGATTGCATATTTACACACATTGTGCGAATTAAAATATAAACATGTTTGTAGTTGATTAAAATTGAATTCATGACATAAGCATTTGTCTTATTGTCACCACTTTTGGTTTCAAGTTATAGCCATACTTGGAGCAGTGAGTGGAGGTAGCAGCAAACATTCCTGGTAACAAGGTCCGGGGAGCAAAGAGGGATGGTTCCTTCCACAGCTGTTCAAATCCCACTTCCTTTTGTCTCTAATTAACTCTTCCTACTTTTCTTTTCATGCACTGAACTTCTTGTGCTAAGTGTAATATTGCCCAACCCTACCCTCACACACATTCTCTCTCTTCTTTAGGCTAAAATTGTCATTGTGCAAAGTTTATATTAAATAACATTTTTTTTATAATTACCATCAATTTGATGATGGGATAATCATTTAGATGATATAATTGGTAAATAACTTTTAAAAAAATATGTAATCAGATATTCGATCTCTGATTATTTTATATGAAAAAAAAATGTTAGAAAATGTCAAATTTCAAATACATCTCAATGTTTTAAAAGATTGATCTTTTAACTTTTGATTAAATAATACAATAGTATACCAAATTAAATAACAAATAGTTATGAGTTTATACCCACCATAGTTTATTACCTTCAAACCAATACACTTTATCACTCTCTTAAATATCACTTTATCTTCTATTTAGTTCTTAAATAATGAAATTATATAAGTAACCCCTTCAACATTTAGTATATATTAACTTAGTCTTCAAATTGGTATATTTCATTAGCATATATTCCAGAACCAATGTGATGAATTTTTTAATACTTGAAAAATTACTTTATATATATATATATATATATATATATATATATATATTAAGATAAGGTAATGCTTTGAAATGAATTTAAGATTTTACTCAATTTTTTATATAAAAAAAAAATCCACTCCAGTTAAATGTAATATTTAGTACTCCTACTCCCGCAGCTTAATTATGATAATTTGGTGTAAAATAATTTTCTTATCAATCTAATTATTAAATTATAACTATATTATTTTGATTGTAACGAATAATAAGTAATTTATTATTTGTATATATTAAAATATACTTGTTATGTTAATTTTAATGTATATTCATCTTATGACCATTTGGTTATTACGAGAAATAAAAACTATAAACATATTAACCTCAACCTTATTCCCCTTAATTTAAAGTAATGTCACTTCTTCTCACATTAACCTCAACTTTTATTAAGAGAATTTAACTGAATTAATTGGATAAAATGTTTGAATTGTTGTAATTTCTTAATACCAAGTTTAATTCACACAGATAAGATAAAATCTCAACCTTTTTACGATGGCAAAATATAACTTCTTGTAATAATTTAATTTATTATCTCTCACAATTTAACACATTGGAAAATCTAAACCTCATTTGTGAGAAAAATGTTGAGTTCTCAATATTAAACATTACATTTCAGTAACATATATATCACTTCACCTATACCGAAATGTTTCACCTTCAATCATTAAAATCAATTTAATAATAATAGAGTTTGAATAAATCATATGAAATCTTAAATTTTATCTTATAGTCGTTGTTATAATAAAAAAAATTACTTTAATTAGATGAATTTCATATTTAGGAATTTAAATCAATGTATAGAACAAAAAAAACACTAATCATTTGGGGCTGTAATGAATTGTAAAAGAATTTGGTGAAGTATATGTGGGTGTTCATACTTCATATAATGGTAGTGGTGTTAGGTGTACAAAATCGTTGTCATGCCTATCTAACATATGTGCCGGCAAGTGGAGAGGTCAAAGCTCGTACGAAGTACGACCACTGTGGAAAAAGAAAGACGAATCATATATCTTCCTAGATCATGCATTTTCAAAATTAATAAATTTAAATTCATCTATAATATTTTCTCACTTTTCTTTTATATGAAAGCTAATATATTCTTACTTTGTTTTATACGATAAATATTGAATTATATATATATATATATATATAATATTAAAAATAAGTACTTATTTTTCGGATATGGTCACCTTGAGAAGAAAATAAACAAAAGACGCAGTGTACTTGAATTTAGCTGGAGTACTCTAAATGCTAAATTACACACTGTACAGAGATACCTTTCTTTTATTGGCAAAGGTTCAGTAATTGTTTAAATATCACTATTTGAATGAGTGGTGATAAACATGGTATACGAAGACAAATAAAAGAAAAAGAATGTAATAAATATGACAATTAACAGGATAAAAAAAATAAAAGTTATATATACATATTAACATGTCAAATATATTTATTTTTGACTAACATTTCAATTTTTTTTAGAGATGATCTATGTAGTATCACTCCTAATCAGTAAATATAATTTTTAACGATCAAATATTATTTTGTTATTTTATTTGTGTATAGAAACTAAAGAATATTTACTTATAATATTTTTTTAAATTTTATTATTTGACCATAAACTAATATATATATATATAATAAATTTGTTAATTTTGATACGAATAACTATCTAAAATTAACATCAAACTGATTATTAACTAGTTGATAGAATAAATTTTTTTACATTGACATATATATATATATATATCAAGTATTAACCTCTCTCCTCTTCCCCAAAACAGAAAAAGGAAATAATTTGCGCATTACAGAAAATAAATGTTTAGTTTTATATAAATAAAATTTATAAAATACAAATGTATATACCATATTATTATTAAAATTAAATTTTATAACAATAATAATATATTTAAATGTGTAAATTATATTTTAAATTCATAATGAATAATATAAATTATAATATAAGCTTATTATTATTCTAATTTATAGTACACATTTATTATAAAATATAAAGAAGACTTATAAGAAGACATGATATATGCAATATTATTATTTTTAATTATTGTATTTTATCAATTATCATGTTTAATTATTTTGAGGTAAAATATTGATAGATTTTAAAGATTAAAGAACTTTTGTAAAAATATTAAGATTTTTAAATAATTTTTCTAGACAAAAGTTCAATTTAATCTTAAAAGAAAAAGTATATAAAAAAAATTAAAATTAAGTTTCATAAATTCATATTTAAAAAATCACAAAGAGATAAAATAGAAAAAATTTCGAGTCTGTAAAAAAAAAATCTCTAGATTTTATCTTAAAAAGGTAATCTTTCCCTAAAAATCATTGATTTGATTGTGTTTTTGTTAATTCATATTTCATTAAAAATGTGATCATGTTGAAATTGCATTTTTCATACATACAAACGAAGCTTAACTTGTTGACAAAATTAAAGATGGAGGGAACAAGAAAGAATAAAGAGGTGGATCGATTGATGAATTGCAAAACAAATGAGAAAATGGTTTGCTATAACGTAGTCCCCTTCTTAAAAATGGTGAAGAAGAAGCATGCAAACATCGCTTTCACTTACTTTTTGTGGCACATGAAACGGGTTTTGTTTCGTTTTCGTGTCAACAAGAGAGAGAAAAGGGTAGAGAAGTCATGTAATGGTGGGCTACTATGCCCTGTGCATACGGTACATTTCTGAAATAACGAGGATATATTTAATTAATGTTGCAAATCTCTAAATTAACTATAAAACATGTATTAGGAAAAAAAATGTGTGACAAATTAATGAAGGAATAAGAAAAACTTGCATGGAGATTAGAAAAAAAGACAATGAAAGACGTGGAAGATGGAGACAGTGTCGTGCAAAGAATCAAATGCTCAGAATAAAATACCTCTGATGTAGAGGCAATGAGAGCTTAAACTATTGTACTAATTTTTTTAATTTTATTTTATTTTATTGAGATGAAATATTACAACAAAACAACTCATTTGGATAGGAGTACTATTTACTCAATTTGCATTTATATAATTTAATACAAATTATTGAGTATTTTATAAGGGTCAACAAATAATACAATAAAAATTAATGTTACTATTAATAATGAGAGGCAGGGTAAGTTATGGACTTTGTTTTGGGCCGAAATGAAGTGAATAAGGTGAGAGTGAAAATAGTTAAGAAAAAGAGTATGAAAAAATTCAGAGGGTGTAAGGAAATGTTGACAGATAAAGCATTATGAGCAGTGGAAAATACAAAAAAATATGAAATGGTACGGAACCCAAGCACAAACAGGCGTTGGAGCCATTTATTGCTGTCCGCTTTTGGCATATGTTGTTTTTATACTGCATTGTTATTTCAACGTTGAATGGAAAACAACCCAAATATTAATTATTCACTTTTGTTTTATAATGTGAATGAAAAGGTGTTATATATAGGGATATCATATTTGCAAAATTCAAATGGAAGATATGACCCAAGTCAAACACTTCATTTACTGGATTCTGATTTAACTATTCGACTTGTATAGGGAAAAAATATCTTTATAAAAATTAAACTTGAGAATAAACCAAATCTTAAACAAATATCTATTATCTATTTTCTTTAAATTTTAAATAACTTGATTAATAAAAAAGTTAAGATTAAATTTTTAAAATATTTATTTTATATAAAGGTTAGATTTAGACTTATAAAAAAATATTTTAAGATTTAGTTTAATTATTTATATAATAAAACAAAAATAATATATATATATATATTATCAAGATATAAATAAATAAATAAATTTATAAAATAAAAATTTATAAATATAAATAAATAAATAAATTTATAAAATAAAAATAAATTATCAATATTTTATACATTTATTTTTTTTATTATAAGTTTATAAATTTATGATTTGTACATAAATGTACATGAATGAATTGTCCTTTCAATAAAAAATGATTCAATTTTTTTTAATATTTTTAATATTTTAAAATTTAATAATATTGATTAAATTAAATTTTAAAAATATTTTTTTGAATTTTAAAAATTAGATTTATTAATCTAATTAATATTAATAATTTAAATAAGTTAATTTAATAGATTATATTTTAAAAAGGTTAGATTATAATATATCAATCTGAAAAAGAAATATTAATTAAACATTTAATTCCTAAGATGTGTAATATTCTTAGTGAATCAAGTGATGTAAATGGATTTAAAGGATATTATCTCTCATGAAGAATATTGCTCATCAAGAATATGTGGTCAAAAGGAAAAATAATATTTAAAAATATAACATTGGATATTAATAACAAATGTATTAAAGACACTGGTCAAAAAATATTAAATACACCTCATTTAATGTTTGTATAAAATAGTCTAAATTATATAAAAAGAAATAATTATATCTCTTAAAAATGTCTTTTCAAAAGTTAACAACACTATAAACTTTCATGTTTTTTTTTTCTTTTCAAAATGAGGTAACGCTGAAAACATTGACTTTTTAAAAAATAAATAAACAAGTATTAAATATGATAAATTATTATTGCTGTTGCATTAAAATTATTTTTAAATTAAACGGGGATGATGGATGAAAACCGAAAAAGCAAAGCGAAAGTTATTTGTGGCGAAGCCAGCACAGCATGAGTGGCGAGCAACATGCAGATTGCTTAATTTAAAATTAAAGTAACGGAAAGCAAAGACAAACTTATTTTGGGTGAAGCAAACACAACAGGCAGTTAGATTTATGCCTGGGTAAGCTTTCTTTCTCTCTTTTATTTATTTATTTAAATTAAAAATAGTATTGATTAGATTATTTAAAATATAAAATTATTTAAAAATATTGAAATTAAGTTATTAGGGTGATCTGTCTGATGCAGATTGCAGACAGAGAGGGGACGGGGGTAATAAGGTAATTTAGGTGGGAAAGTAGTACATTTTTAGCAACATGGGGTTGGCTAGGAAAGTAGAGAATGAGGAAAACAGCGGAGTGAGTCCCTGAGTGGTGAGTGGTAAGTAGTGTCTCCTTTGTCCTTCTTTTCTTCTTCTTCTCTCTCTCTCACCAGATAGTGGGAGTGATGGGAGTCCGGTTAGACCCCAGAGCGCAGGAGTTCAGACCCACCACCTCCATACAATGGTACCCTCTCCCCCCGCCGCCGCCGCACCTCTCCCTCTCCGCCACCTCCACCCGCTCCCTCCTCCTCACCCCGGTCCCCCCCGCCTCCGAGTCCGCCCTCCTAAGCCACCTCCAGCTGTTCGGCCAAGTCCGCGCCCTCCAAACCGAAGCCCTCCGCCACGGCATCCTCACCGTCCACTTCTTTGACCTCCGCCATGCAGAGTCCGCCTTCACCGCCATCCGCATGCACCACTGGCCCCAATTCCCGGCCCGGCCCATCTCGGCCCACTACGTCCTCCCCTCCTCCAACTCCATCCCCATCCCCATCCCCGACGCCCACAACCAAGGCACCCTCGTCCTCTTCAACTTAGACCCCTCTCTCTCCGCCCAACACCTCCGTCGCCTCTTCCAACCTTTCGGTATACACACACACACATATTCCCCTTTTTATTATTATAATAAGTTAATAACACATGACTTTTTCTATAATCCAAATAAATGTCTTTGTCTCGCCCTTTTTGTCTACCTTCTTTTAGGTCCCATAAAGGAATTGAGAGATACTCCATGGAAAAAGAACCAAAGATTCGTCGAGTTCTTCGACGTCAGAGACGCTGCCACCGCTTTGAAACAGATGAACGGTAAGGAAATTCACGGGAAGCCTCTCGTTATTGAGTTCAGCAGACCCGGTGGCCACACTCGCAGAGTCTTCACTCCTCCTCCTCCTCACAGTACCAACAAATCCTCCTCTTCCACCCGCCAACTTCAGCTTCAGGAGGAGCCTCAGCCTCAGCCTCAGCCTCAGCCTCAGCCTCAGCCTCAGCGGAGCCCCAAGCAACAGCTTCCTAGAACTAGGCACTGGAAGGGGAAACAAGCCAAGAAACACGAAACTCGCTTTCTAATCAAAGAGGACGCCATTGTAGAGTCTGCTCCCAAAGATACTAGAACTACTGTCATGATCAAAAACATTCCCAACAAGTACAGGTTAGCCTTTTCAATTTTCGTTTTTAATTTAATAAACCTCCATAGCTACCACAATCACCACCAATTCTGTTTCCCTTTCTCATTCAAAAAGTGTAAAAGCTAGCTTCAAGAGAGAGAAAGAGAGTATAATAATGTTTCTTTTTTTTTTAATATTTTTTTACAATTTTATATTGTGTGTTTTTGTTTTGACTTGTTGCAGTCAGAAGTTGCTATTAAACATGCTGGATAACCACTGCATACACTGCAACGAGCAGATTGCAGACGACGACGACCAGCCTCTATCCTCCTATGACTTCCTCTACCTTCCCATTGATTTCAAGTATTTTTCCATTTCCATGCACTAATTACCCCACAAATGCCTCAATTATTCTAGTATATTATTATTGTTGTTGCATTTTGAAACAGCAACAAGTGCAACGTGGGATATGGCTTCGTCAACATGACATCCCCGGAGGCAACACTCAGGCTCTATAAGGCTTTCCATCTCCAACATTGGGAGGTCTTTAATTCAAGAAAAATCTGCCAAGTCACCTATGCCAGAGTTCAGGTAAAATATATAATACCCATCTGAAATTTTCTCTTTTCAATAATCATAAAGTCATTTATTATATATACTAGTAGTCACCATCAACTGGAACCACTAGGATGTTTTAGTAGTGAGGGGTACATGCGATCTAACGTTTCATTTGGGGTTGTTGTAATTTATATCCATGAAGAAAAGTATGAGCCCTGGTATTGAAATTTCTATCGATAAAGAGAAGTATGAATTATGGTGTTTTCATTGTGATTTCTATTGATAAAGAAAAGTATTGTAATTTCACCAGGAAAAGCAGTTACTAAATTTAGTTTGAGTGACACTAGATTTGGTTTATTTGAATGAGTTATTCGGTTTGCTTCATCTGGGAAACTGGTGTGCAGATTGTAAATAATATAGATATAGATGTAAAAAAAATAGGGTTAAACATCTTTTTTTTTTTTCCACAAAAATGTGTAAATGTTTTTTTTTTCCCTTAATTTTAAAAAGTCTACTTTTGGTTCATTTAACCCAATTTAATGATTATCCTACGAATACGGGAACTCATTCTCCATGGTCGTTTCAAGCAAAAGAAATGTTGAATACTAATGCGACATGAATCAAATCAATAAGGAACCATTAGAAGAAGATTAGAAGAAGAGAAAGTATGGGAATAAAATCCCTTACATGTAAAGCAATGGAATGTTATGTTTTTGGGATTTAAAATATCATAAATGAGCCTTGGACCACTTAAGTATATATGGATTTCAAGTAGAACTGTGTAATGACATGTATTTTCTTGATTAAGATAATTGTTAAATGGAATTATATATTTAGAAGAACGAAAACGATCTTTAAACAAAAAAAAAAAAATACTAGTAGTGTGCCATGTATATGTTTGATTTTTATGGATAGAAGAAATGAATGATACGAGTAACATTAATAATGAATGGTTGTTTTTGTAGGGGTTGGAAGCATTGAAGGAGCACTTTAAGAACTCAAAGTTCCCATGCGAGATGGAGCATTACCTGCCAGTGGTGTTTTCACCTCCTCGAGATGGGAGGGAACTGACAGAGCCACTTCCGATAGTGGGGAACAAGCAAAACCATGCCGTTCCCATTATTCCAGATCCAAGTGGCGGTGCTGCTTCTGATGATGACGTGTCCAGCATCAAAACCGGCGGCGAGGGTGATCATGATCATGATGACACAAAGGAAGAAGTGGGTGGTAACTAGTGAGGAAGGGTAGTAGTGTTGTGATAGAGAATGTTAAATGATGATGATGACTATGATAATGTGAATGTGATTATTTACTACACCACACAACACAGCATTTAAGGTCGTTGAGCAACGAGCCACACCTGTGTTCTACCGTAACCAACCTACAACTGCAACCATTTCAATATCAACTGAATGAACCTCTTGCTGCTCACTGCTCACCTTTCCTCCAATATCTTTATTTATTTTTCTTTCTTATCTCTTTTTGTTACCTGCTTTTGCCTAGTGAGATGGAATTTGTAGGGTCTTTTTTTTTCTTTTTTCTTTCTTCTCTTTTTCTTTTTGTACCTTGGATCACTTGTAGACTTGTAGCTAGGTTCTGTCGCTTTTGGATGTAGTAGTGTTTAGCTCACCTTGGAATTTAATTTTCAAGAATTTCGATGTATCTTTTATAGCATAGAAAACTTGGAAAAGTAGAGAAAATATAAAGTTTAGGCTGCTCTTGGCAATAATTACTATATGCTGTGTTGTTGAATGACTGAGCTAATTAAGCGGAAGTGATTGTGTTGAGGCGCGGTTAACGAGTGCACTTCTCGAGGAGTTAATACTGCTAGATAGGATTTAATTAAAATGTATTGTTTGTTCTCAAAGTATATATTGGAATTTAAATCAGGTAAGGTCAAAAATTTTATGAAGGTTTCGTTGACCCGAAATAATAAACAAATGTACAGTCTTGTAAATAACATAAGGGATAAAATAAAATCTGAATGAAATGCTTATATTGATTTGAACTGAGTATTGAAGTTTTCCACAGTATCGTTAAACATAACAGATTTTATTTATATGCAACGGGTAAAGGTTAATTGTACTAGGGTCAGCTTAGTTCTGTTTTCTTTAAGGTGGAAAATGAGGGGAGAATTCTTTCATATAATTTTTCTCTTTTTTAATGGTTGACGAATTTAATTTTTTTATCTACATTCTTCTCTTCTTCGATATTTGAGGAATTTGGAATTGAAGCAATTCAAATATTGTTTAAGTATAATGTCTAAAATATGTTACTTATGCTTCGAAATTTAAAATTATAAGAATATAAAATAAATTAACCTTTTAAATTTCTTTCGTATACAAGGAAAAAAAAACTCTTCCTCCTTTCTTTCTTTTGAATAAAAAAGTCTGTAGGCTAATTGAAAATTGTCGAATGGTTGAGTGACCAAATTCTTAGTTTGATTATTGAGTATGTTTCTAAATTATTTAAGAATATTTAAATTTAATCTGGCACTTAATGAAATTGTAACAAAAGGATGTTTAAATAATTGTTTTTGTGTGAAAAAAGAAAGGAATTATGTGGCAGAAGTGTTAGGCGAATGCATGTAGTCATGTACCGTCTGAATTCCCAAAAGATGCAGAGAGGACAGTCACAAGTCACAACCTTTAGAATAACGATGAGTGATATAACAAATTAACAAGTGTACACTTTATTTTTAGTAGGCAGAGGAAGAGTGATCTCAAGTAGAATCAACATCTTTATCTAAAATTTCAAATATGAGAAATGTAAATAATATATATTTATAGTTTAGCAGGAATATTTTATTTTATTTTTTTTTAGTAAAAATCAATCATCACTAATTTGATATATATTTTATATCATTAGGATAACAAGAAAATGCAGAGAAAAAAAATGAGGTGATAGAGCATTTATTTATAAATAAAACTTATATATTGTTCATTAACAAGGTGCTTTCTATTAATCAGCAACTCCAATAAAAGTTGTTTGTCTTATAAAATAACTTAAGTCTCGATTTCTTGTCATTGAAGAACTCTGACGTGATAATATGAGTTGCTTGAAGAAGAGAGAGTTACTTCCTCAAGTAATTGTTTCTTATCAGATTTTAAGCAGATCTTATAAAACATATTTGGGAACGTTTTAGAAATAATAATAGTGAAAATTAATTTCGTATAATGTTTATGTATTTACTATTGTTTTATTTTATTTTTAATATCTATTTATTTTGTATTTTTTCTCGTAATTTATTTTCTTTCATTGTAGTGTAATTATCCTTTTTAATAAAAATTTAAATTTGATTCATAAATGATTAGAAAAAAAATTCTAAAAATTGAATTTTTTAAAATTTCTTATCATTAGAATAAATTTGTGTTTGAGTTGTTTAATGCTAACATGACACACTGATGACCACTTTTTTCATTTTTGAATACATGAAACAACTCAAATGAGTTTGCTTTCATTAGAGATGCCCTAATTAAAGTTTTTATTAGTAACATGCATGAAAAAAATTATTAAATGTGAATACGTGTTATTATTGAGCAAGTTATTTTCAATTTTAATATTATAAAATTGATTTATATCATAATAATTATTTTTTATTTATATAAATTAATATATTTATCTTATTAATCAATGTAAAATTTTCATTTTTAACACTCTTACGTCAAAGATTGAACAATTTAAATACAAGATTTACATAATCAACTAGATGTTAATAATTTAATAATAAGTAGTATGATAACCACAAAATAAGAATTGTTAGGAAGGATTTTAATAATCTTTTTTTATAAAAAGGTTCCAATTTATGTAAAGTTAACTTTTATTTATTTATAATGTATAGTAATTAAATAGAAGAGCATGGAGAATGTAAGTGAAGTTAGTGTTAGTGAGATTGGTTTTGTTGTGGACCATGATATTCTTTCACACCACACCTGTCTTCCTGCATTTAATGTAGTGCTGCTATTTCGTTCTGTAGCTTTCGGCTGTCACTGTGAGGACAACCCGCTTCACATCTCTGTCAGATCCATTTTCACCTGTTCTTTTCTTGATGCTCTGGGGTTTTGACACGTGGACCACCTGATGCTTCCCACCTCACCAACCCCAACCTCGTATACTCTCTATCACAACTCTAAATCTTCCCCATTCCCCTCTCTTTGCTTCGCCATTTTCTCACCCCCCCACTTTAACAAAAACAATATTTCCATCTTTTAAACTATATATACTTTTATTTATAATTAAATAAATTCAACTGCATAAACAAAAGTGACAAAACGCATACTACTTTATTTTTAATACTCTATCCTTTCTTTTGTCGGGTGAAGTAAATATTCAAGAAATATTTCCTAATATAAAACTAAATTTAATGATTAACTTTTTTAATTCCACCGATTATTGACAAGAGGTTTTAATGATGTCACAAGAATGAATACACTTCTGAAAAATTCTGTTAATCACAATCACATGGTTGGTGGGTGATGAAGAATTGCCTTGGTGAAGTGACACGCTTCAGGGAGTCTCATATCGAGTCATATACATGGGTCTGTTATATGCAGAGTCAACTTTTTTTTTTCTTTTCTTTCTTTCTAATTTTAGTTTTATATGATGTAATAGGGTGTGTTTTTCCAATTTGCTCACATGGAATGCGAAGTGCAAAATATCAGCATGAGTTGAACAGAATATTTTCTATGGTGAGTCCAAGGTCCTTGTAAATGCTACTTGATATAAGGGACCTTAGGGTCGAGGGAGAGGCAATTTTGCTCAAGGTTCAAATAACAGAAACTCTGAAAAGTGTGCAGCTACTTTTGAAAGTTTATGATTTAGGATTAAGGGTTTATGATTTTTTGCATTAATAGTGGGTTGTATATATCTGATTTTACCTTAATTTGGTTTTGTCTCTAATCTAATCTAATCTCTGCCTTGAATTGTGTTGTGACATTGAATGGGACAAAATGCCTTATACAGGAAGAGCAGAGCAGGAGGAGGATTGGTTTGGCTGAATGTTTTGAGGGGCTGTACTCCCTATTGGTTGGTGCCAAGGGAGCCTATGTTTCAACCACTCAAGCCATTGGATCAAATCTGCTGCCACAAGAACCTTTATGCCATTTCAAATTAGGACAGTTGTCCAATGATATGTGAGGAAAATTTTGATCATTATGACTATAAATAACCATAATAATTAAAATTAATTAATTTTAAAGTATTTAATCATTAAAGTTATAATGATCAAATTATTATATTTTTATTAAAATTAATATTAATTATATTTTAATATCATTAATTAATAAAATAATTATTTTAAATTTAAATTTTAAATAATTTTATGAATTAATCAAAATTTTGAAATATCTTAAAATATACAATATATATAGACTCAGACTTTAAATGTATATGCATGTGAGTCAATCAATTTCAACTATTGTTTGAGAACTCAACTATTATGTAAATAATGTATGTATCACAAGACTCAATATTTTATCACAATGCATAGATATTTTACATTATCATCTCATTTATTCATAGTATAAGAATCAGATTTTCTGCTGACATTTTCCCAATTGCATACACCCTTAATTTAATATTTTATAATTAAAATAAAAAATAATTAAAACCAGTAAATTATGATTGCACAACAATTGCTAGCTTTTCAGTTTTCAACATAAGTGTTGTAGTTGACGAGGTTCATGTCTTTATTTGCCATAAATTAATTAATTTGCCAAGTTTTTCTCTTTTGTTGGTGTGAACAGAAATTTGGAACCAAACAGTATGCAACAAACTGTATGCTCCCATGTTTGTAGAAGAAAAGATGATTACAAATAGAAGAATATTGAGACGTGTCACTTGCAATGCATTACCTCCCTTTAAAGCTCCTTCTCTTCTATATATATGCGTACGTACTTAATACCTATCAATGTATGCATTCTATCTATCCCATGCAATTTAATTTTATGCTTTGTCCACTAACTGTGATTGTTAAATTTCTCTTCACGTTGTGTTTTAACGAGTGAAATAGCGAAGAAAAAGAAGAAATAATGGATAAAAATAATAAATTTACTGAGTTAATAAATATGAATTTTGTTAGATAAAAAATTTATAGACGTGAATATTATATTTGTAAAATTTCTTCACGAACATAAGAAGAAATAGAAAAGAAAAACATGTGTCGTGTAATTTATTCAAATAATCAAGATTTTCATTCGTATAATGAAAGACTAATTACAGGTGATAATAAAAAATTATTTTTTAAAAAACATAAAAATCATCGAAGTATGTTTTGACTTGTTCTTTTAACAGTGTTTTTTTAATACAGTAAAAAATAAATAAAACTATTTTCATCATATTTAAAAAATGTCCAACTATATGTTAATTTTGTTTGAACTATTGATTAAATTCTATCAATTATAAGAGCAAATTGTTTAATTATGTAAAATAAAATAAAACTATTTTATTGAATTCTTTATTCTCATACCACCTTTAAGCAACCCATTAAATTTTTATTCAACACAAGTTTTTATCAAAAAAATTACTTGTCTCATAATTTATTTTTTCTCTTTCAATATCTCATATTTTCTCTCTTATATGAACACAAAAATAATAAGTAACTCATAATAAAGAATTGCTTAGAACATTCACAATGCTTAATTTTTTTTTTTCTATATTGGAAACAATTTAAGTGATAACATGAATTATTTATTTTTAAGTATTATGTATCTCGTGTGTGTGTGTGAGAGATACGGT